GTTCATATTTGATCTCGTTATATGGACCAAAGAAATCATTTAATGTTTCCGTGCCTGGGTTTCCATGTCCATAAAATAGAATTAATAACACCTGTTTTTTGCAACACTGACTAGTTCATGAATAAATTTGTAGCTTCCTTTTTATAACAGGTTGTCTTCTATAGAATTTGTTTGTAAGTTCATTGTTGGGAGTTTACACAGGTTCCCTGGGAATTACGTTATAGTGGTTAAGTTCTTCATTTAGCCTGTAAATGCCTGTTTGACACACAGCGTAAGTGGTTTCAATACTAGTAATAAACTAGTAAAAATTAAATGAATTTTTGATTGCCTTGTACCACAGTAAGATTTTATAACAAGTAATAGAATATGGATTTGTCTGAGTCCTTTTTTTTTCAAATTTTTCTGTCCTAGAGAGTATGAGTGCTTTGCCAGCACTTTTTGACCGTCTTACCATATACGCAGTCCAGGAATCACTGTTGCAGCTTTTCAAGTCTGCTAAAGCCTTTTATATCACAGGAAACTAAAGGTACACATGGGTCTATAAGTTATTCATGTGTATATACAATGCATATGGAATATATTCATATACATTAATCTGTGATGTGCCCCTCTCCCCACTTTATTGTCTGTAGAATGAAGTACAAACTCCTTAGAGGAGCCTAATAATTCTTACCAGTCTGGCCCGACCTGCTGTATAAATCTTCCACACGAGAGAGGACCATTTATTTCAGACCCCTGCAGCTCTAAGAGATGCTTTCTTAGTGCAGTGATTGATATATAGACTCTGAGACCAAACTATCTGGTTTGAATCCCAGCTCTGCCTCTTGCTAGGATGATGAGGCAGCTATGAGAATGTACCTCACAGACCCCCAAGACAAGGAGCTCAGTTGACCAAGGGCCTCTGCTGTGCTCTGAAATTCATCACTATGTGCCAAGACTTCAGTTCTTAAGCAGCTCAGTGGCTGAACGTGGCAGAGTTACTAAGGAAGGCCTGTTTGGGGGAGACACAAGGCTCCTCTGATGGCTGGCTGGGGCTCAAGGACTCCTCCATTACCTTGCCAAGCCTTGCTTAGGCTACATGGCGGTTTAGGACACTTCTACCCAACCTTCTTTCCCTCTCCCTTTCACTTGGGGTTAGACTTGCATCATGGTCTGACAGTCCACCCAGACTTGCCCAGCTGCCTCTCCATGTTCTCTCACAGATAGTCCCCCTAATAAAAACTTTATACATTTAATCCCATCTTGGCCTCTAAAATGGGATTTGGGACAAGCTCATCCTTTACTCAGCCTGAAGATGCCACCCTGGTTGGTAGGTGGGGCACTCATCACCCCTGGCGTAAGGTTGCAGATTAATTCCTAAAGATTTCACCAGTTGACCTGGAACAATGTCCCAGTGGAGGGGAACTGTGGTAGGTGTGATTATACACATATTTGAAAAATATGGGAGGAACAAAGACAACTGAGTTGGCTGATTACTGCTAAGTTGTATTGAAGCACTGCAGAAGGAAATGAGGAACAGAGCTATTAACAAACAGTTAATAGCTAAGTGTGAGAGCTGGAGGGCTTTTGAGGCAGCTTCCTTTATCACCTGTAGTGGAAGGACAGACTCAGTTGAACCACAGGCTGAAGGGCTAGCTAATTACTGGAGTCACAGAGCTCCAAAGACACTTGAGCATTGAATGAGTATTGAATAACAGAGCAGGTCTGTTAATGTGAAGGTGGGGAAACCTGGGATCTTAAACATGGGATGGGATCATCTGGGTGGGTGCCCCTGCGACTTCCTCTGGCCCTTCTCCAGTGAGAACCAGCATATTTGCTGTGCTGGAAGATGCTGCAGAAGCCTCTTCCCCACCCCCCACCCCCCCCCGCCCCGTCCCCTCCCCCCACCAAAAAAATAGCCCTCCTCTCCTACACTGCCCTCCCTCTTCCTTTCCTGGCTGCCAAGCCAATAACTAGCCAATAACCAAGCCAATAACTGGGTTAAATCCCATCATAACCCAGCTAGGACATACTGGGTCTGTTAAGGAAGGAAAGAGACTATTTCCCTAGAAAATTGCAAGGTTTAACTGGCACATGCTGGCAGGAACCAGGGGTGGACTCCTGGGATTGGATTCTAAAGGTGTTTGTTCAAGGGAGCATGAATGTGACATTGGATAAACAAGAATTCATTCACTTGGGGGCACTTTATCAGGTGTGGGGAATTTAGCACCCCAGCAAGAATCCTGATATATACTGAATGTGTCTCCCCAAAATTCCTATGTTGAAACCTAATGCCTGGGTGATGGTATTTGCAGGTGAAGCCTTTGGGAAGCGATTAGGTCCTGAGATTGGAGCCCTCATGAATGGGATAAGTGTCTTTATAAAAGAGGCCCTAGAGAGCTCCCTTGTCCCTTCCACCACGTGAAGACATAGCAAAAAGGCCACCATCTGTGAACCAGGAAGTAGACTCTCAGCAAACACCAAATCTGCCAGCACCTTGATTTTGGACTTCCCAGCCTCCAGAACTGTGGGAAATACGTGTTTGCTATTAAAGTCACTCAGTCTATGGTATTTTGTTATAGCAGCCCAAGACTGAGAAGATAGACTCCAATGGTAAGGGGAAACTTGCTAATAGATGGCTCTTAGAAACTAAGGGGAAAAATAGGCAATTCTCAGTAAAGTGAGAAATGTCTGAGTTGCACTGGCAGACTGTAGAGGAATGAATAAAGAGGCTAAGCAAAGTGGGCAAGCTGGAATGGATATATTAGATAAGGCCAGAAGACCCATCAGCATTATGCTCCAAGAGAGGGCCCAGAGAACACACCATTCACCCAAGGTCTTCAGGAAAGCACTGATGAGAAAGGCATTAGCATAACTGAGAAGTTTGGTGGTAGTTCTCTCTGCAGGCCAGAGGTGCAGGTGGGAGAAGCAGCCACAGAGATGGCTTGTTAACATCCATGGGAATAATAGAGGCTGGGTGGTGTTGCTTACCTGCCAGAAGCTAGAAGGCCACAATTACCATAATGACTAGCAAGGTCATTCTGGCAACCAAAGGAGCTTGACCCACGAAGAGTTATGGAGTTGTAACCGCAGGACCAGCTCAAACCAGTCCTCGAGCATAACAGGATATCTAGTTTTGCAGGTACAACAGAGCCAAAGTTGTAAATCGTGTAACCTGGGTATGCACAGAGGAGGAAAATCTTAACTTCAAATAACACTTGGGAACCAATGTTTCTTACCTGCGGAACCTGGAGGATGAGCAAAACCTGAATGCTGGAGCCTTTTCGAAAGTGAGGAGTCCGTTGTCCAGGAAGATCCTGTGCTGAACTCTGCCTTTCCATACCTTACCTTGGATGGCCAAGTCTAACGCCCTCCAGTGGAAACCTGCCCTACCAGTGCTTCGGCATGCCAGCCTGTTCCCCCGAACCCCTTAAATTTTGCCCCAGACCTTGGATTGGGGAGATTGGAGCCCTGCCTTCTGTCTCCTTGCTGGTTGACTTCACAATAAAGCTCGCTCTTTTTTCAAAAGCTGGTGCCATAGTATTGGCTTCTATGAGTGTCAGGCAGTGAGCCCTTGCTCAGTAAGAGAGACAGTTAATAGAGCATAGTCTCCTTAGGACAAAATAGATAGGGAGTCCACAGGGTACTGATTAACATCTATTACCATAAAAAGCAAGAATACCATAAAAAGGAGGCTGAGGGCTGTCACTGCAATGAAAATCTTGATCCCTTGCTTAATTCACAGACCTAAGACAATTTTCAGATTCAGAACTGGTTTCCGACTATGGATAGGTTCCTAGGAGGAAGAACCCTTACCACACTATGGCAAGTACATAAACACATGACACTTGCCCCCAAAGGGCTCTATTGGCATCTATTTGAGTGACTGTACACTGGGAAAAGGGGAATAATCAGGTATTGTTGACACTATTGGTCACAGGATCTGAGTTGATATTGATCTGGAGATCTAAAGCACCATCACGGCCTTCCTGTTAGAATGAGAGCCTATCAGACCAGGTGTTCTGGCTAAAGTTACTCTCAGAGTGAGCCTACTGGGTCCATGGAGCCACCCAGTGGTAATTTCCTAGTCTCCAAGTGCATAACTGGAATCTATATATGCAGCGATTGGAGTAACTGCCACGTTGGGTCCCGGGTCTGTGGAGTAAGAGTTATCGTAGTGCAGATTGCCAAATGGAACCCTCTGAAGCTGCCTCCCACTCCTGCCAAGATAGTAAATCAGGCACAATATTGTATCCTGGGGGAATGAGGGAGATTAGTGCCACCATTTAAGGCATAAAGGATATGGGGGTGCAGGTGCCAAGTCTGTTTCTTTAGTTTACCAGTCCAGCCCCTAAAGAAACTGGATGGATCCTGGAGAATGACTTTAAACTACTGCTGACTTAACCAAGTAAGAACCGTCATCACAGCTGCTCTGCTGGACTCGTTGCTAGAACAGATTAATAAGGCCTCAAACACATGGTATGTCATTGATCTGGCATTGCATTTTTTCCATTCCAGTTGGAAAAGAGGATCAGAAACAGTTCACATTCACAATGAACAGTCAGCAATATTCGTTTAGAATGAGTTTTGTCTCAGGGCTATGTTAAGTCTTCCATGCTTGGTCATAATAGAACATGAAGAAATATGAGCCACCTAAATATCCCTCAGAACACAACACTGGTCCATTTTATCGACAACATCATGTGGATTGGACAGACAAGCAAGAGGTGGCTAATATGCTAAAGGCTTTGGTACAGTACGTGCACCCCAGAGGATGGGAGGTAAATACTATGCAGAGTTAGGGACCAGCCACTTCAGTAAGGTTTTTATTTTTTTTTTTTTAACTCTTTTTTGAGGAGGATTAGCCCTGAGCTAACATCTGCTGCCAATCTTCCTCTTTTTGCTGAGGAAGACTGGCCCTGAGCTAACATCCGTGCCCATCTTCCTCTGCTTTCTATGTGGGATGCCTACCACAGCATGGCTTGCCAAGCGGTGCCATGTCCACATCCGGGATCCAAACTGGTGAACCCCAGGCCGCCAAAGGGGAACGTGTGCGCTTAACCACTGCACCACTGGGCTAGCCCTTCAGTAAGGTTTTTAGAGGTCCAGTGGTCAAGGGAGTGCCAGGATAGCCCTCCAAAGTGAAGGACAAATTGCTGCCTTTTGAAACCTTTATCACAAAAAAGGAAGTAGAGCACATTGTAGACCTCTCTTTCTTTTGGAGGCAACACATTCTATAACTAGGAATAATGCTGTTGCTCACATACGAAGTGACCTAGAAGGCTGCCAGCTTTGAATGGGGCCCAGAGCAGGAAAGGGCTCTGCAACAGTTCCAGGCTTCAGTGCAAGCAGCCCTGACTGACATTTGGACCATATGATCCAGCAGACCCTAGTGGTAGTGGTGGGAAAAGATGCAGTGTGGAAGTTATTGCAAGTCCAATGGGAGAATCACAACACAGGCCCCCTGGGATTCTGGAGCAAAGTCATGCCATCTGCAGCAGAAAATTGTCTGTCCATTGAGAAGCAGCTCTTGGCATGTCACTGGGCCATGTGGAGACTGAGCACTTGACCATGGGACACTTCATCCTGCCCCTCCTCACAGTCCCTATCCAAGCGAGGGACTGAGTTTCTAACTCCATCATTCCATCTATATTTATTAGTTGACATTCTAATAAAAGGAAGTGTTTTTCCTTCTTCCCCACTCATTTATTTGTAGCAAATGGACTCGTGGATTCTTAGTCAACAAATTAAAATCCATTACTGTCATTATTTATTTGGATGTTCTCATTGTCCCATATTTGACCAGTGGGAGCTCCACAATGGGTTCTGCGTATGACAGGAGCCCGAGATGTGTCACATCTTCATCATTCTCTGAGCCCTTTCTTACTTTTTGGTACAATCAGATGTTCCAGGCTCATCTTGTTCTTTCCCCTCCCCAGCCCTGGAATCAGCTGTTTCTTCAGGGAGCCCTGCTTTCTGTTCATGGAGAATGGTGTTCAGGAAACAAGTGCTTGGTTCGTTCATTGCTACTTCTGTGTCACTGCTTGTAGTCCCTCTCAGCAGACAGATACATATACAAAAATCTATATTTATCTCTGTGTCTGTTAAAAATGGCAAGTTTATACTGATACCCTCAATTCCAGTCTGTCACTACTTTCTAGTCTTCCCCTTTTCCATATTTGTAACTCCCCCAACAGACAGAAACCTGACTGCCATTATCCTCAGTATATTTACTCATTTGCTCAAGGCTAGAATACATGGAAGGTGGTTTTAGAATTGCTAGCTCATACTACTATGAAGAGAAAACTTACTGGATTTTTAGGTAACCTGTCTGTTTTCAACCTGTTTCTCAGTTTGGCAGCCATCTGAGCCATCTTTTAAGGAAGGTTAATAAATTCAAACATAAGCCCCAAATAAGCGTGTGTAGGCCATGAAAACTGGATGGCTCAGGGGATGCATGGTTAAAGGGCTATAGAGCTTCAACAGTCCAGGTCACTAGTTTCAATCCTCGTGTGTGCTGTAACTCACAGTGGTTGACACAGAATTGTTTATGTTGGATGATAGTAGATGATCGTGGCTTTATCTTCTAGGTCTTAGTGAGTATAATCACGTCACTAAGAATTGCCATCTCAGCTGAAGGAAAGGGCAGATTCCCCCCCAACAGTGCTGTTTAATCATCTTAAAAGCAAACTACAATAGATGGTCCATAAGTCATTTCTGTCCATGCATGAAGTACTTAAAACACAATTTCTGTTACATCTTTAAAAAAATCTTGCTTTATGACCATATCCTTTTGAAAATCATGTCAGGTTTTATGAGCTACTAATATTTTTTAACAAATATTTAGGAAATGATTCAGGGAAAAAAGTGCTATCAAAGGCAGTACTCTTAATCTGGAAAGCTAGCTCTTTCTCTCAGCACCAAAAACTAATTGATTTTTGGGAGATGGCGTATCATAGTTGGAATATAGATTTAAAGTTTAAGGTTTTGTGTAAATGTGCTATCACCATCATGTCCAAGAGTACAAGTCATTTGTGCCTTGGTAAGTGTTTCTTTTGTCTTTTAGTACTTTGTGTAATTTTGTTAAATGCTTTTAAACAATTTCAACTTGCCATCTTAGCATTAAATGGTAAGTAGTCCAAAGACGAATGAATCCTTTTATATTGATAAGATCTTTGATGAAGGCTTAAATTTTCATTATTGAGGTCAGCATTCAATGTTGTCCAATACATTGGCTCTTTCCTCTAAAATGAGGGGTAAGCTTAAAACTGATAACTCTCATCTGCATAAAGTCAGTGCATTAACTTGCCTATTTTGCTTGGCATTTTACCTTTAGATTTACTGTTACTTGCCCTTCACTAAAAACAAATTTTATATTGAATTCTTAAAGTTGCCTGTTTTCTGTTAACTCATATAACTAGGAATATGTTCGGGAAAAGAAAGAAGAGCACTTTTAATCTTTGAAAAGCTCATTGACCTAATTCATAAGACCATGTGAAGGTTGGAGCTATGCAAGCCGACCTGCCTTGATGTTATCCTGTCTACATGTCCTTCAATGAATGCATCTATACTTAGATAATGAAATAGAAAATAGAAATTATTATTAAAAAGTACACCTGTCACTCTACTTTTACTTCATCTCTGCCAAAGCAGGTTAGATCCGTTTTATAAGGAAACCAATGATGTACATGCTCCTAATGTTAAGATAGTCTGGTTGGGACTCCTTTAAGGTAAGTTAATTTTTAGGCCAAGTGTCATTAAAGGTCTGTGCAGCTTCTACGATGGCTCCCAGTGATGCTCATTTCCTGGTAACCATACCCTTGTATTATTCCCTCCCGTTGAGTTTGGCCTAGACCTAATAACATGCTTTCGATGAATAGAATATGGCAAAAGTGATGGGATGTCACTTCCAAGATTCAGTTACACGAAGATTCTGGCTTCTATCTTGCTCACCCTCTCTTGCTCTCTCACTTGCCCACTTTAATGGTAGGCAGTTGCCATGGCGTGAGCTGCCCGATGGAGAGGCAGGGGAACCAAGGAGGGATTCTGGCCAACAGTCGGTGAGGAGCTGGATCTTGCCATAACCATAGAAGTGGGCTTGGCTGCAAGCTCTTCTGCCCTGTCGAGGCTTGAGACGACAGCAGCCCTGGCTAATGCCATGAAAGCAGTCTTGTGAGACATCCTGAGGTCCACTGTACCCAGATTTCTGACCAGGAGAAACGGAGATATTAAGTGCTGACCAGGAGAAACTGTGAGATATTAAGTGTTGGTTGTTTTAAGCTACTAAATTTGGGGGTAATTTGTTACTCAACCATGGATAAACTAATACAGTGTCCTTTTGAAAAATAAAAAATCACAAAAGACCCTCAAACTCTGTATTTTCTCGGTACATCTTTACTAGCATTTCCAGATAAATGATTTAGCACCCTGGTTTTCAACCACTAACAACATTAGAATCATCTGGGAAATTTTTTTAAAATACAGGTGCCCGGGCTTCATACTCAGAAATTCTATTTGAATTGGTCTGTGGTGGGGTGCAGGCCTCCGTGTTTTTAAAAGTTTCCTAAGTAATTCCGGTGGGTAGATGAAGAATCACTGATTTAGTAGAAATCTATTTATTAAGCTCCTTCTGAATACCGGGTTTAGGAATATAACATTGAATGGGATGTGGAGCTCGCCCTTCATTCATAGGTCAGAACAGAAGACAGACAGGTAAACCAACAATGACAACAGTGTGACAAATGCTCTGGTAGAGTTATGTACAAGGTGACATAAGCACAGAAGAGGAAACTCCTAACGCAGCCTGATAAAGTCAGAAAAAGTTTGACAGAGAAAATGTTAGGCCAAGTAAGTCTTCAGCTAAATATAAAAGCTAGTCAGCTAGAACATGGGGGATAACATATTGCAGGCAAAGAAATAATAAGAGTAAGGGCACAAAGTTGTTAGAGTATGAGCAGGGAGAGGGGATGTTCATATTCGAGTCATGGGTCAGGGAAAAACTCCAGAAAGGCAGAGAGAGTTTTAACAGACCACAAAATTAGGAGTACAGGGACCAGTCAGGATGAGGACATGGCCTATGGTGGTGGTGGAAGGAATGAAGAAGAGAGGGGAGGAGTGATTTCCTGTTCAGGGCATGTAATGGGCAGGACTTGCAAGTAGGCACTGAAATGCAAAGGGAGGAGCCCATGACGACTCCCAGGCTCTGGCTTGACGGTTGTGTGGGTGGTAGACTGCGACTTTGGCAGCAAATATGGGGGAGGCAACAGCAGCAGACAGAGGGAAATCAACTGTTCAGTTTCAGACCTAAGTTTAAAGCCTCGGAAGAAACAACTGGTTGCAGTTGGCGCTGGAAATGAAAACCAGTTGGCACGTCACTTGCCAAAAAAGCACATCTTTGTGGATAATTTTGTGTATTTGGAAGTAATCGAGAACATAGCTTCTGTTTTGTCTTCACATGTTTTGGTGATTTGTAATCAGCTTCCAATAAAACCAGGAAGATCTTGAGAATTAGCTATTTTGGCTTTTAGAAAGCATTCTATTTCACTAAACCAAAGAAACCTTTAAAACTGAACTATGTAAGCTGTTTTTCACTATTTATTGTTGTCCACTGGCTCCAGTTCACTCACACCACATGCTCTCCTTAGATGCCTTTGCCCCACTGCCCACTTAGGTGAGTGACACCGTGGTTTACCCAACTATTAGTAGCATCTTAAACTGACATGAGATTACATTGTGTTATGAGGTGGGAAGGGTTCGGATGGTGACATCTACATGTCCTCATTATGATCTGGTCATTGTTTTAATTTCAAAGGAGCAATACATTCAGCTCAGTACTTCAGTCTATTTAAAGCATGTTAACCCCGGGCGCAGAGTAACATTACACATTCTTATTGTAAGTCCCTGACACTGTAATATGTGCTTTCCAGTTTCAATCTACTCACCTGTTGTGGCCACTTTGCGTTTTTTTTTTTAAGGAGCAAGGATATCTGGTATTCCCGTTATTCACTATCAATTGACAATTTTGAACTTTTGAAATTATTCCTTCCTTCATCTGGATAGTTCATATGCCCCCACAGGAGGGGGAGAAGCCACAGGGAAATACAACTGAATCGTACTGCGAAGGGAAGGGTTGCACACTGTCTCGTCACCAGGCCTGCCTTGAGGCTGGTGTGAAAAAATGCTGATGTCTGTGTAACATGTATCTCTTAGGTAAATCAAACCTGTAATTCAGCTTGGCTGCCTCCAAGTCATTTTGATTCCTGCCAACAAGAACATTAATGAACTTAGTATCTCTACAGGTTTATTCATGCGTACGACCCAGTTCCTCATTCCTCCTTCCAGCAGCTGCCCCTGCTCCATCTGATAAAGCAGAACGCTGGAAGAGGTCATACAAATCCAGATCATTACCTAAACCCAGATTATTGTCGGCAGTGTTCTCTGATTCTTCTGTCTGCTCTTAGGGTGGCAAACAATAAAGTTTCTAAAGCTTGGATTTGAAAAAAGAATCCATATACTAGTAATTTTTGTCATGAAGAAACATTTTATGAAATTCGGCTTGTTCATGCCTTTATTCTTCTTACTTTTATTCTCCTTTTGACAGTGATAAATAATTCAATTATGTTGTACTTTTTGCTTTTGGGTTTTGGTTTACCTCCATGGATTTACAGTTGTGGGAATATTCCAGAACAAGTCATTCTTGCGTAGATTTCCCAAAATGGCATGAGCCTGATATAGGAAGTATGATAAAATGGACATGAACCTAATTTGTCAAAAAATTTTAAGATAAAAATATAAAAGAGTATAAACCAGTTGTTCCCTAATTTGTCTGCATATTAGAATCACATGGAGATCTCTTTAAAATTCCAAATTTCCAGCCACACCCTAGCCCAATTAAATCACAGCAATCACGGGGGTGGGACACAGGCATCCGGAGTGTTTTGACTCCTCAGGTGATTCCAAAATGCAGACAAACTTGGGAAGCACTGATCTAGACAACTCTGTTACTTCTTGCTTGCCAGAGAGCACAGCTATGGCTGCTTCTCCTTGACTACCCACTCTGGCTTGGTGGGAGCGTCTCTGCCATCCGGCTTCTCCATCAACTTTGTCAACTTTGAGCCTAAGCAGGGCCACTGAATGAGAGGTAATGCAATCACTGAAGGACAACAATAACTAGTCAGAGACCACCAACAGATATAGATAGTTGATTGCAAATTTTTTTAAAGTTATTATTTGTTGTAATTTTTCCTGATAGCCAAAGTTTTGTGTCTCAGATTTTTCTATTCCATTTTTCAGACACTGAGAGCTTCTTATGCAGTTAGTTTTAGGAAACTCTGGTCCACAGGGGTGACATTTTTTTCATGCTTTCAGTGATTGTTTTAGAATTCCTTCTTTGAGTTAGTCGACTTTAAAATATCTAACTCAGGGGGTATGCGTTGAGTGAGAGTTGCCCATTTGCCTTGTTTAAAGAAACACAGTTTGACACAAAGATAAGTATTTAAAATTTTATTTTCTGTGAATACACAGCACATTAATTATTTAAGCAATGACTGGCTGTCCAATAAATGAGAGAAAGTTGATTTTGAGAATAACAACAACTGTTTACTCACAGGTGGTGAAATTTACATGGTTGACACCTTTATTAGAGCTCAGAACTCTAGCATTTATACAAATAACCATCATGCTGGCCTATAAAATTTTAAAGCTAGTAGTGTAACCCTATAAAATAATTATTTTGCTATACGCCTATGTATTTATAGATACATATGCTATATGTATCTTGAAAGAGATTAATTAAAGGACATAAAATTGCAATTGAAGCTGCTCGACGGTTGAAATTATCTGAATAAGTGCAATCTTGACTTTAATGAATTAACAAGCTTCTTGCTATAAGTGTTTAATTAATTTTAAACCATATTTGATTTAGAAACCATTTATACTTAATTTCTGGTCTAATGTTCAATTAAAATCATCTGTACTATTATGTGCAGGCTCTAGGTTCTGTTTTTGCTTTGGTTATTTCAGTTTGATCACTGACTACCACTGAGGAGTGGAGAAAGAAGGCCTATGGCTATGATCTAATTCCTCATGTTTGTCAGGGGAAGACCTTCAGGGAAAATGTTTGCTTAGAAAATGCATGTTTTTTTAATTCAGATTTTATTCTGTAAGTAATCATTTGGGAGGGGAAGTAGAAACAAATGAGAACACGTTTGTCTTATTAAAAACAAAAGACTGAGACGTTTCATTTGCTTACTAAAATCACTGTTTTTCATATGAAGATTTTGGATAAGTCATTGTCAAGGTAACTACAGACAGCTGTGGTGTGTTGCAAGCATGCCAGCCATGGAGGCAGAAAGCCTGGGTTTGAATTCCAGTTACTCACAAATTGTAAGTTGGTATTATTTTTATCCCTCCTCTGTTAAAATGCTTTCTTAATATCTGAAGTTTATGGTTTGTCCTAGAACGCATTTGTTTCTGCTCCATAAAAAATGTTATATACAGTATACCAGTTTTGTACTTCATTAGAAGTGAGGGCAACCGTGGTATATTTAAGCCAAAAGGTAACTAATCCCAACACGATGAGATCTGATTTTGAAATGCCTTAGAATTTGTATTTGAATGTGAGTGATATTTTTGGGAAACTCTAATTCAATGTCACCTCATTTATAACAGCAATGTTGGGGAACAGCGTTACCAGTTATGGTCCATAACTCTGTTATATCATGTTCTTACAGTATGTAGTTATATTGGGGGAAATATCCTTTAACTCGTAGTATTTTTGAGCCGAGTAATGAGCTATAGGGTAGATACTAAGGTAGAATAATGTAGCTTCGTTATAAGATTGTTCTATATCTCTTTTTTCTTTCCTCCTTGCAGAATTCATCCCTAGTCACCTTATTAAAAAACAACGAGAGGAAGTCTTAACTCAGGGTGAAATAAAGCACCAGCCTAAAAAGAGATACACATTTTCATTCAGTTTTATCTTTGCCAGGATAAAGAAAGGCAAATAGTTATTTTACCTTTAAGGCCTTGATTCTAGGTGTTAGATTAAATAGACAGGATGTTGACCACATGTGATTTGAGCAGTATTGTTGGCTATTTTACCAAGCTTTAGATCAAGATTTGCTTGAAGAAAGCTATGCTGTGGATAAACCTTGGGAGATCAAGAGTGAACTGTATTGCCCTCTACAATGTTTCCACCAGAACATTGCTTGGTGGTATTGATTCTGAAAAATGAAATTTAACTTCTAAGAGCACAGATCAGATTCAGGTATTCCTAACTGTAAAATTGATTTTGACCTACGCAAGAGCTATAGAATAATAATGATCACAGAGTACTGATTTTTCTGTGCTCCTTTTAGGAAATCCATTCTGGAGCATAAGGGTGAGCAGTTGGTCAACCCAGTTCCTTTCTTGAGTGATATGTCAGAGTTTGATATTGTCAGTCTGTTACCAAGATTTGTGTTGGGATCATTACTGAAAAAGGCTTTGAGGATTTCATAACACCAGTATTTAGATGTTGTTTTAGGTTTCATCCAGGGCAGGTGAAAGCGTAACACAGTGACCTAGTACCCAACTACTTCAGGAGCTTGGAGAAAAATAGGTTGATGAAGGCTTAACTCCAGTCAGATAACATAATATAGGCAGACACGGCTGGGTTAGCTCAGGGTTGGTTTTTTTCAAAGCAGCAGACTTTTTCTAAGATTAGAATCAGCATTACTGGTGGAAGCAGGAAACTTAGGAGCAAGCCGTTAGGTGTAAGATCAAAGTACAGCTACTTCTGTGTCACAGCTGTAAAGACAGGAAAGTGCCCATTTTTCTTAAGGACTGCTTCTGCAAAGTTATATCAGCAAGTTATATAAGTAGACAAAGACGAGGCTAAGAATATATTCATGCAATTCTACCATCAGCCGAAAGCCACGTAAGTCTTTCAAACTCTCAAATAACATTCATGACAAACTATGGTACATTTTGGTGTACTTTTAAACCTTTATCTCTTTCATTTTTTAAGTACATTTGAGTTTTTTTTTTTTTTTTGAGTTCTTAATATGTGCTCAGCAGAAGAATAGGGGAACAAGAGAAGTCTAATGTAGAATCACTCTTCTTTCATATGTGTATTGTACACACGTGTGTATGTATATTTAATATTTAGGATAGTGACCCATGGGATTTTTAGATGTGTTTTACTGTGAAATATAATGTACTTATAAAAAAGCGATGACGTGACATGTACAGTTTACAAATGGTGGTAAGAGTGAACACTGCTTGCAACTGTCACCCGTGGTAAAAAAAAAAAAAAAAAGAATTTGACTGGCATGTCAGAAGCCCCTTGGATCTCTTCCCAATCACAGCTGTCTCCCACGCCTGTCCCCTCTTCCCTGAGTACACTCCAGCCTTATGTTTTAGATAATCATTTCCTTGCTTTCTTTATAGTCCTACCACTTGAGTGTGTACCCATATGCACCAGATGCACCCATATCATTTAGTGCTCTGTTCACCAACTTTATCTAAATGGAATCATATTTGATGTATTCTTTAGTCTTGCTTCTTTTGTTTGTTATCCATGTTGCTAAATGTAGCTGCAGTTTGCTCATTTTCATTGCTTTGTAGTGCTCTGTTGTATAAATGTACCACAGTTTATTTCTCCATTCTGCTGTGTTGGACATCTGAGTTGTTTACATTGCGTCTACTACCGATGATGTTGCTATCTGCTTGGTGCACATGGGCATGCATTTCTGTTGGACATAGTCCTAGTTAATACGTATTAATGATGTGACAGTGGGCAATGAAACTATCCTTTTCTAAATGCAAATTTAGTGAGCCAGTAATCTAATGAAGGAAAACAACCATTCTTTTGGTTATTCTTAGGTGGTAGGTGCTGTCTAGATATGGAGATGGCCATTTCCATCCAGGTAAATGAGAAATAGAGGGTTACACCTTTGCTTATGATTCATGTCTAAAATCTGTTTCATCAAGAAAATAAAATATTTTAGTTTTTAAACTACATCTGGTATTATTTCTAGAATTCTAAAATTAACAAGACAAAATGACCTTAGAGGGCAGAGAGTGTATCTTAAATTTCTTTTATGTTCTTCACGGAGACCGTGGCAATGCTAGAAAGATATTTAGTCCCCATGAAATATGCATTCCCTCAATAAGCAGACTTTGGAGTAAAATTATTTGTAAAAATGGGTATAATTTCCAAGTGGCAGGTCCCTAAAAATGGGGCAGGAATGGATTAGTTTAGCTTAAAACCTTTTCTGTTTGAAAGCTTCTTTCCTGAAACAGAGGAAATAATCATTTGGATAGGTCAATGTAGTTATCTGTTTTCTCCATAATTTTTCTTACTGCATTCTTACATGTCCTAAGTATGTTAGTGTATTTCTGAGGTCTTTTAAAATTATAATTTTGGCCTTTTGTTTGCCTTTTGAAATGGAAGGCAAAATAGATAATACACTAAGATGCAAGTTTATCCCTTTTGATAGTCCTGTGCTTGAAAGCCTATGTGTTTTAGGGCTTGGCCTGATTGTGCTAGGTAAGACCAGATCACGGTATATTAATTTCAGTATCTTCTTGTTTTCATGGGCTTCATTCTACAGCTTCAGCAGACGAATCAAAATAATATTTGTCACACTATTCTGGGTTAGCTGAAATCTTGTTCCTGTTTACACACTATGACCGTTGGCCTAATACAGTTAACACGAACACTTTACGACTCATCCAAGAACTATTTCAAGTGTTGAGGAAAAGGCACTTTATTGAAAAGTTACTTATCCAGGATCAGGCCAGGAGAAAACACTGCTTTTTATGAATTCAGCATGGTACCCACACCATGATTCATTTTGCTCCTTTCCTATAACAAATGTGTTTGAATTCTTTTTGCAATGAAACGATTCTTATAGTTTGTCTTCCTTGGGGATTGTAACTTCCAAAAGGCACTCTTAAATATATTACTACCTGTTTAAACTATTTGCTTCCAAGATGTACAGTACTTTGCACAAAGAATAAGTCACTAATCCCCTGGATATACAAAAGGAAAGTGCTCTGCTGGGTTTGGCGTTGTGTTTTGTTTTTCTATGGTAGGTTTACGACTTGATGCCCAGCTTCTTCGTAGATTCACCTCTCACTGGACACAATTCCCTTTAATGTGTTTTTCATGCTTATAGAAAGAAACACTGTGTTAGTGTCTTAGTCTGTTTGTGCTACTATAACAAAATATTGTAACATGGGTGGCTTATAAACAACAGAAAGTTATTTCTCACCGTTCTGGGGGCCGAGAAGTCCAAGGCTATGGCAGATTCAGTGGTGAGGGTCTGCTTCCTGGTTCATAGACAGCTTTCTTTTTGCCATAACCTCACATGGCGAGAAGGTGGATCTCTTTTATAAGGACACTAATCTCATTCATGAGGCTCCACCCTCATGACCTAATCACCTCCCAAAGTTCTCACCTCCCAATGCCATCACCTTAAGAGTTCGGATTTCAAAATATAAACTCAGGGGGAACACAAACATTCAGACCATAGCAGTTAAACACTAGTGGAAATTTTATTTTTACCATGTGTCTTTCTCTTGGTATATGGAGGGAAGCTCCCCTTAAGGTGTTTCTGCAAGTCAAGTGAAAGTGTCTTTTTGACTGATATCTTTGTGATTTTAAAATATTTACTTGGGGCTGCCCGGTGGTGCAGCAGTTAAGTGCGCACATTCTGCTTTGGCGGCCCCAGGGTTTGCGGGTTCGGATCCCAGGTGCGGACATGGCACAGCTTGGCAAGTCATGCTATGGTAGGCATCCCATGTATAAAGTAGAGGAAGATGGGCACGGATGTTAGCTCAGGGCCAGGCTTCCTCAGCAAAAAGAGGAGGATTGGCAGATGTTAGCTCAGGGCTAGTCTTCCTCAAAAGAAAAAAAATTTACTTGATAACTTTTTGTTTTTATTAATCTGGGTTAAACATTTTAGATTCTTATATGAAGTTAAAAGATGTTAAAATCAAAGAATTAGAAAAGTAGTTAAGAAAAGTTGCCAATTTCCCCGTTGGTAGCATGGATTTGGCAGTATAGGAAGGTATGTGGGCAGAGGAGCGCCAGGGTAGAAGTGGGTTAAGGAAGACCCCCCCCCCCCCCCCGGCAGCAGGCCAGAGGCAAGAAAATCTACCCTTCCATGAAGTTGTTCCAGACTGTTCTAACCATGCTATTTTCTGAGCCCTATATATTATTATAAGCTTATGCACTGTATAAGCAAGAATAGATAGGTGGGCCAAAATAAAATGCTTTTAGCAGCAAGTATAGAATAATTAACCCTGAGAAGACAGCAGTGATTGAAATTCATGTGAAAGAAAAAAATCTTGGATATGGTTTCTTCCCTGGAGTTGGAACTTTTAATGTGTTTATGTGCATCTCGAGGGTACAAGAAGAGCCCTATATTTCAAAGGATGCTAGTGTTTTAAGGAAGAGAGTTTGGGAAATACTGAGTTAAACTATAGCATAGTGTATTAGGTGAGAGGTCATTGAAAGTTAGAATATACGCTAGCAGCTCGTGACGAGAAGGGCTATGGAGTCCTGCTTTTGCATGTCCTCAAGAACGGAGTGGACAGTTGTCTATATGTTACTCCGAAACCGTGATTCTCAACAGAGGCTCCCTCAACGGGGTGGTAGCGGAATCTCAGTTGGATTTTGTCAAATGTCTTTTATGCATCTATTGAGATGATCATATGTTTTTCTTTTTTAGTTTGTTAATATGATGACTTCCATTAATCGATTTTCTAGTGTTAATCCAACCCTGCATTTCTGAGATAAATCCCACTTGTTTATAATGGATAATCCTTTTAATATATTGTAAGATTTGATTTGCTAAATTTTTATTTAGAATTTTTGCATCTATATTCTTGAGGGATATGGGTTTGTAATTTTCTCTTATAATATCTTTGATTTTTGGTATCATCGTAATGCTGGCCTCATTGAATGAGTTGGGAAGTACTTCCTCTTTCTCTATTTTTGGGAAAAGTTTGAATAGAATTATTATTTCCTCAGTAAATGTTTTGAAAAATGTGCCGTGAAGCCATCAGGGCTTGGGATTTTCTTTGTGGGGAGGTTATAGACTACTACTTCTTGTTTAGATATACAGTTCATACCAATACCCTCAATTCCAGTCCAACCCCACAAAGTGGATTTTAGTTTTCATCTTTTCCATGTTTGTAACTCCCTTCTCTGACAACAAGTCTGTCGCCCATTATCTTCAATACGTTTACTTAGGTGATTAACTCCCCTGTGTGTCATAACTGATATCCCTTTGCGAGTGCTGCCCCTTCTCTGTACAAATGCCCTCTTCATCGGGCTTGGACTCTGATGCCCTGCCCAGGGCTGCAGCTGCTGCCTCCTTCCCCAGCCCTCGCCCCTACCCCACAGGGATGCCCACCTTACCTCACGCTGGGCCATCCTGCTGCACAGAAACCCTCCTCTCCCCGCCCAGGCTTTGACACCCTGGGCCAGACTGCCCCATTGCGTGGACACCTCCCCACTTTCTCTTCTTATCCATTTGTAAAATTGTTCCTGCCAAGTGAGTCCATTTTATTCCATTTAAACTCCATGATGTCTAGTACCTAATTGGTGATTAATAAATACTTAATAAGACTTAAAAGAACTATAGTTCTAAGTGGTCACATGCTATATACACTCTAAAAAAGGTGTTAATATCATCAGAATTGGCAGACTTTGCATTCCAGCTCTGCTGTTGACTAATTCTGCTGCCATGGACAAATTAAATGAACTTCTTTGAACTTCTATTTCCTAATCTGTTAAGTGGGATGAAGATAGAAATAATTATAATACAGCAATGATGTCAATAGATAGCACATTATGGCCACTATGCACCAGGTAGGTGCTATGCTAAGGACTTGACATATGTTAAGTCATCTATCTAATCTTCAAAACAGTATTCTGGAGAAGACACTATTATCATATTCATTTTACAGAAGAAAAAACTGTCAGTTGAGGGAGGCACCATTATCTTCCTTATTTTACAGGCGAGGAAATGAAGCACCAAAAAGGAATTCATCCAACATCATAACTGGTGGAGTTGGAATTCAGACTCTGTGCCTCCGGAAAGCAATACTGCCCAACACGTATGAAAATTCCTAGCAGGTAGTGGGCTGTAGTAAATAATAACCATTTTAATATATAACGTGATTAATTGTAGTAGCTCTGAATCACTATTGCCAGGTCTGTGACCCAGGAACCGTCACGGCACTGCCCATTAGGAGTGGAGAATATGATCCATTTTTAGCTTGAATACAAATTGGAAGTAATTTTTCTTATAGATAGAGTTTAAAATCCTCTCTATTTGTTCCAGTTTGGTAAAGGAGACATTTTTATGTGGGAAGAAGACACAGACTCAGAAATAGGTTATGTGCTTAAATCTAAAAGGAAATTTAAGATGAGAAAAGATGTTTCCAGTCGATAGAAGATAAGGAAAAGGATTAATGGTACCCTAGAGATAAAGGAATAAACAAAGGACATCAGAGCTGGAGAAAGTAGCCCAGTGGTTGTGAGGAGAACAGTAAAGACCTGAGAAGCATCCATCTTTTCATTTCAGCGTTTAATAAGAGCCCAAAGCCCACAGATCCATTAATGTCATGATGGATCCGTGACCCTTGCACATGATAGGTGCTCAATATATGTTTGTTGAATTGATCTGACAATCCTTTAAAAAGCTTAAGTTGAATTGCCAGTTAAAGACACAGCCTAAAATAAAAGGGAGAACAGGAAAGAAGACAACAGCCTCAAACTTTTGGAGGCTGGAAAGCATATAGGTATGACTTAGCAGGCTAGAGAAAGCAATCCTAAACTGGCAGTGAGGGGAGCTGAGCAGAAACTCAATTTACATTGCAAAATCCCCCAAGACCCAGGTATCTCTGGAAGGCGAGGGTGAAGATGGGGTTAAGGCTTCACTGACAGGGTGTTAATGAAGCAATTATTCTTTTATTCCTTTCCCACTTTGCACAGCAACTGCCCCTGACCTTTTCAGCTCCCAGACTGCTGGCTGTCAACCAACATGCAACTGGCAGAAAAATAGAAACCTTCTCTTGGGGGAGAGAAAAGATCTAAGATTCTGATATCAGGAAGCCCCCAAGGAATAGAACGAAGATCTTGACACTGAGAGTCTCCCAAGGAATTGGCCCAGCTAGATGGCCCTACAATGAAGACTACAGTCAACCAGCTACATGGACACACATGGAGTTTCTAATCAGCTTTCTGGCGGACAACTTTTGGTTTGAGCAAACAGCCAGAGAATACCAGGACAAGGAAAGCGTCTGCTATGACCAAGATATTCAGAAAATAAGAGAAGTTGTTGGATTTATAAAAGAAGAACAGGGTACTATGTTAAAAAAAAAAATTCAGAGAACCAAGAAGCAAGCTTTTGGAAATTAAAATTATGATAACTGATATGAAGGGGGTGTATATAAGTAGAAGATAAATACAGAAGATAGAATATAGGAAATATCCCAGAAAGTAAAACAAAAAGACGAAGATATAGAGAATAAAAGAGAAAAGAGAAGAAAATTAGAAGACCAAGCCAGACAATTCAACACCTAAATAATAGGAGTTCCAGAAATTGGAAGCAGAGAAAATGGAGGGGAGGAAGTTATAAAAAGTAATTCAAGAAAGTTTCTCAGAACTGAGAGGCATACTTGCCCAGCGGAATGTCCTAAAGTAGACCCACAGCATATCATATTATGGCATTTCAAATCACTAGGAAAAATCAGAAAGTCCTACAATCTCCAGAACAGTGGGAAAGAGGCATTTCATACGAGAGTCAAGAATCAGAATGGCACTAAACTCCTCAAAATATAACAGTGGAAGCTATAAGACAATAAAACAATGTCTTCAAACTTCTGAAGAAAAATGATTTCCAATTTCAATTCTATTCCCACTCAAAAGTGTGAGGGCAGAATGAAGATCTCAAAAAACTTACCTCCTTTGCGCCCTTTCTCTGGAATCTACAGGGGGATGTGCTCCAAGAAAACAAGGAAGTAAAGTAAGAAAGAGTTAGACCTAGGGTCCAAGAAACAGAGACAAGGAGAGTCTCCAGGATGGGTTGAATGGGGACCTCAAGGTGACAGCAGTGCCTAGAAAGCAACATGTCTAGGATGGAACAGGTTACAAGGTTCCAGGAAGGATTTCTTCAGGAAGAGGAAATTGATTGAATACCTAATTTGAACGTCTCAGGAGGAAACTTGCATGCACACTTCAGGAAGGATTTGGGTTAAATTAGCAATAAGTCCATAAAAAGATAAGACAATCCATAAAAAGACCATTGTTAATTTCAGAGAAAACTAATAAGCAAGGCTTATTAAAATTAAGAACTTGCTGGGCCAGCCCCAGTGACCCAGTGGTTAAGTTCGATGCACTGTGCTTCAGCGGCCTGGGTTCAATTCCTGGGCGTGGACCTACACCACTTGTTTGTCAGTGACCATACTGTGGTGGCAGCTCACATACAAAAAGAGGAAGATTGGCAGTGGATATTAACTCAGGGCAGATCTTCCTCAGCAAAGACAAAAAAAAAAAAAATTAAGGACTTATACTCATCAAAAGCAAGTTTAAAGACAAATTATAATCTTGAGATATTCACAATCCACATAAATGAAAAATAATATCAAGAATATAAAATGAACTTCTAAAAATCAATAAGAAGACCACAAACACTCCCATAAAAAATAGGGGGGAGATACGAAGAAGTATTTCACAGAAGAGGAATTACGTATGGCCATACAAATACAAAGAGATGCTCAATTATCAGTGATCAGGATAATACAAATCAAGGCCTTGATAATATGGCATTTCATTGTTGGAAACTTAAAAAACTGATAATACCAAATGTTGGATAAGATGTAGATTCATGCAATCTTTTACATGTTGCTGGTGTGATTAAAAAATAAAAATGTTCTGGGCCGGCCCAGTGGCATAGTGTTTAAGTCCATGAGCTCTACTTCAGTGGCCTGAGGCTCACAGGTTTGGATCCCAGGCATGGACCTACACAGTGCTCATCAATCCATTCTGTGGCAGCATCCCACATACAAAATAGAGGAAGATTGGCACAGATGTTAGCTTGGGACAAATCTTCCTCACCAAAAAAAGAAGAAAAAAAAATTTGTCATTACCTTCCAAAGTTGAAGAAAAACATTCTATGACCCAGCAATCCTCTTTTAGAGAGAAAGAGAAAGTTTTAAATATATATAAGAGAAATGTGTGAGAAGATTCATTACAGCAATGTTCAGCAAAAACCTGGAAACAACCCAACAGCTGCCCATCAGTGGAGGCGTAGATGAATAAACTGTGGTAATTTACAACAGTCAAAACAAATAAATGTATTGATGAATCAGAGTGATTTTGTAATAAGAGTAAAAAGTAAATCTCAATATTGTATACAGCCTGATGTACTTTATATAAAATTTAAATTAAAAAATCCTCCTGCTTTCTATTCAATTATTAGTCATATATTCTTTTGCTTTTCTTGTTGTGGTTATCCTAGAGATTATATGTTGTATCTTTGATGTTTAAAGTTTAATATGTTGGTACTTTTCTTTCTTCCCAGGCAATTCAAAGACTTTAGAACACTTAAATCCCATTATCACTCTCCTACTTATTTACCATTGTTGTCATATATTTTAATCCTCTCAATGTTTTTATCCCCACAAAATGTTATTACTGTTGTTTTCTGCAATCAGTATTGACCTAGTTTACCCACATATTTATGTGATTTTTACTCTTCATTCCTCTCTACATTTCTGAATTTCCCCTGAAATAATTTCCCTTCCATTTGATGAACATCCTTTAATTCTCTCAGTTTTGCACTGGAAACATAATTATTTTACTTCCTTTTTTAAGCATTGCTTTTTCTGGGAATAGAATTCTAGGTTGGGATTTATTTTCTTTTTGCATTTTAAAGATATCGTTTCATTGTCTTCCAGCTTCCATTGCTCTTGCTTGACTGAATGTTTCTTTGAAGACAATCTGTCGTTTTTCTCTTTCTCTTAGTCCGTGGTGTTTAGTAGTTATACTGTGATGTATGTAGGGGTATGTGTGTATGTATTTATCCTGCTTGTGATTTATAATATGACTTCAATCTGTGGCTTGGCAAATTTCATCATTTTTAGAAAATATAAATCATTATCTCTTCAAATATTACTTCTGTCCAATTTTCCTTCTCCTCTTCTGTGTCCTATATATTTCTTACAGAAAAAAAGCTACAAGAAAGAACCAAGAAAAGTATTCTTTTTTATTCTTTTCTCTTCCTTGCCTCATTTAGGATGTTTTTATCTGATCTGTCTTCCAATTAACTAATTATCTGTTCATTTGTATTTAATCTGTTGTTAGATCTATTCATTGGGGGGTCTGAGTAAAAGTTATTCTTTTTAGATTTTAGAATTTTTTTCTCTTCTTTCTTTTAGCTTCCAGTTCTTTACCAGGATTCTCCATCTTGTCTTTTATTTCTTTGAACATATTAAGCATAATTATTTTCAAGTCTTATGTTTGATAACTCCATTTTCTTGAGCCTCTGTTGTCCATTGTTTCTCTTGGCTTTTTATCATGTTGACATGTGCTTTGTTATCTCTGACTAAATGCCAGGCATTTAAATGAATGCTTATGCAGATACTTTGAGGTCTAAGATGAGGTCTTCTTACTCCAGCTAAGATTTCAGTTTGTTTCCAGAAGACTGCTGAGGGCCTTGGCAATATTGGATTGGACCGAGAGAATTCTAGCTCAGCTTCAATGTCTGTGAGGGCTAGTCTATTTTCAGTTCACTCTACTCCCAGGATTTAGCTTTTAATCATCTCTGTCTAAAAGCTGGGGAGTATCCAAGATATTCTCCTCCTTTGTGAGCACCAAACTCCAGTTTTGTCTTGTTGGCCTTATATGTCAGTCAGAAGCCTTGCTCAGCTATTCAGTCACCTTTTCCAAAATCAGCAGGTGACTAAGGGGAATACAGCCTCAAATTCCTGCTCACTTCTCTGGGTTTCTTTCCCCTAATCATAATCTCACAATTCTTTACTGTTTTGTTATCTCTCTGATAATTTCAAGCAGATTTTTGAAAATATTTTCTCTGGCATTCCAACTTGTTCTTAGTAAAAGGGTTGGTCCTAATTACAAAGTTTGTCATTAAAGTGATACCTTGAAAGATACATTTTATCTGCTAGCTCTGTGTATCCCTATATATGGGAATACATATAAATGCAATAAAGTTACATAAAACTGATAGTAACGAAATGACAAACACAAGATTCAGGACTATGGTTAATTCAGGTAAAGGGAGGCACAAAGATAGATTGGTTGTGGGTAAGGAGAAGATGGTTAGATGTAGGTTATTTTCAAGGCTCTAGCTTTCATTTTAGGTGTTGGTTCAAGAAATCTAATTACGATATTAAAAACAGCTAATTAAACAACTAAGTAAAAAAGGGCCACTCACAGACCAATGATAAGTATGTGTTGTGAGTTACAATTGTGAATTATGTTGTAAATTACAATCCAAATCTGTGTACCTCAGGTTCAATAAGAAAAGAATAATATTATGGAGGAAAGGAAATATAATCATAGTATATGATGTGGCACAGATGGGGATAGGATTTAAGTAGTATGAGTACTGAATAGTGATCTAACTGAAATTGTGATAGGGCCAAATTTGGAGATTAAAAGTGTGTATTTGTGTGGAAGAGCAGGAAGTAAAAGATAACTAAATCCTCATCGTCTATATTGGGAAGTCAATAGATAATGCCTAAAATGGAAAAGTCACAAAATAATTATATTATTTAGAACTAAGAAAGTAAACCGGAGAAGCTGCTGCAAGAGTTCAAAATGGTTGCCTGGAGGTATGGTGGTGGGATTGGGAGTGAGAGATGAAACTGATATTTATAGCAAGGTTTTTAGAGCTGTTTGACTCTTTAAACTGTTTATAAAATCTTTAACTTTGGTAAAAAGTAAAAATTAAAAATAATAGAAAGGGATTATCAGAACTAACTAAAAAGAAAAGACACACATAGTGCAAAATAATGGAAACTTGTGTGTGAAGATATTTTGCCTAAACCTTATCCTATCGGTGGACCTGTTATTTCAACCAATTATTTTTCAGCCAATTCCTTTGCCATTTTCCACGTGGCAAAGGCGTGCTATGCCTGCTTTTAATTTAAAAAAGGAAAAAAGAAAAAGCTCTAAAAAGTATTTGCTGTTCATCTGCAAGGATTTTCATTAGATTGATTACTATAAAGCACAGCCCTAAAATTCTGAAAAGAGATTTAACTATTTGGCGATCATGAGCTGAAAAGACAGCTAAGATATTGTTCTGATTGAAAGGGAAAGCTCCATAAAAATAATTGAAAACGTTATTTGATAAACTGAAGACTATAAAAATCATTGTCCAAATGATGCGACATTGTTAAATACAGTGAAAAACGAGGATTCCTGTGAAACTGCAAAAAATTCTGTTTTACACTTCTGATGGAAGATATACTTTTGTTCGGTCATGCTTAGTATTTACCTAGGCTGAATTTTTGGTACTGGGTCTGCTAACCATAGACAGTGTGTTTTGTCTTCTACTTACTCTGTATCAGGCCTGGTACTCAGATACAACTCTCCAGGTCCTAGACATGAGGACAAGGCACCCATCAGAAGCCATCTTCTTTGACCTCTGATCTTACCTCCAATCTGAAACAAAAGTATTTATAGCAACAGTAAAAGCTGAGGTTGCACGGAACTTTAACCCTTTTCTACTTAAGTTTTGCCAGCTCTAAAATGGGAATAATCATTCTAGTTTCCTTGTTAGAGTTGCTCCAAAAAGTGTTTAAGGTGATTGTCAGAGAGAAAGACAAAAAAAAAAAAAAAAAAAGAAGGACTATTTGATTGTTACATAGTACAATAAGCACAAAGGAAAAGTGAAATTAAGTTTCATGTCAAAGTAGAAACAGGATTTTCAGAGTCTACATGAGTAGGTGTCATTTAACTAAAAGGAATGAACCATGTGTATTATATAAATAAGCACATACATATTTTTAAATCTTGTGATATTTACTAGATACTTGTTATCTACTGGCTCTGTGTAAAACACAAAATATGTGTATGTTTTTGTGTTGACATATCCACAAAGCCCTAATGAGGATTTTAGGTATAGCCAATGAACCAGCTACGTTTAGCTTCCACCGAAGTAAATGAATATAGAACATATTTTGCCAATGCCATAAGCAGTGAGTTGACAAGCCCCAGGACATTTTTTGGGTACATGTTTTCAGTGACTACATTTTGAGTTAGAAGGCTTACCGATCTCATGGCCATAAAAAGTTACAACACTCCCACCCTATTAGATATTGCATTTATATCCAGCTTGTTCATTTCTGCCTCCACACTGAGTAACTAGGGAAACAATGATGTCACTGCTTTGCGTGGTACTTATTAACTTCCCTATTTAGGCTCATGGTTTGCGAAGCCTACAGTTATTTAATAAGTGTCACCTCCACATCTATAACTAATTCACACAACTTTTATTTTTCTAAGGGGAAAATAGCGTTACAGTATCATTCTGTTTAATGTATTATTTGGAGGAAAATATATATTCTGAAGTGTGCTGTTCCTGAAAAATCATCTGTGCGTTTGCAGCAGGAGTTTTTTGATGGACATTGACAACACTGAGCCAATGGTGTGATCCGAATTAAACGCTCCCTCTTGGACCATGCTCCTTTGAGCAGTCACCCCTCGTCTGGTCTTCACTACCACTTGCTTTTGATTTGAGAGGCTAGATCTCTATCTTCCTCTTCTTCCTTGTAATCTTCTTTCCAACTTTATCATGTTGGTAACAATGAGGTTTTAGAAATAAACAGTCCCTGGGTGTAACCCTGGGCCTTAAAAAGCCAACTGCTCCCAAAATGGGATAGAAATGAGTTAGCAGTCTTTCCAGTGAAATACATAAATGGACACTCAGTACATCTCAGCAATCACTTGCCTAATGTGTTTGTGTTCTTAGTCTTCAAAATTATTTCTCTCCTCTTCTTTTCTCAAACTGGCTACACCCCCGACTGCTCTCCTTCAGCTTTGGATCTGACAATACAATTTACTGATAAAAGAGAAACGACCAGACATGAATTCCATTCTTTGCCTATCATCTAAACTGTCAAACCTACCCAAACTCCACACCTGTCTGGACTCTGCCTTCCCTCCGCTTCCAGAGATGAAGGGTCCCTGTTCTGGCCAAAGGCAAACCCCGACACTTGGGCTCAAGATCCTACCGTTTCTCATTCTCACTTTTCCCCTCTGTCTTTCCCTCTCTGCTGGACGTTCTCATCATCCCCATGGTCTACTGTCTCCTGACTTTAAAAATCTTTCCTTGACCCTACACACCACTCTAGTTACTCTAGTGCATTTCTCTTCTGTCTGGTCACTGGCAAATGTGATATATTTCAAAAAGGAGAGAGTAGTCAATTGTGTTGAATGCTGCTGAGAGG